AGCGGTTTACCACGAAAAAAATTGGACAGTTGCATGAACAAAAAATCAACAGATCATATCAACGCACTAATGCTCTCGCGATGTCCTTCTCATTGACAGGCGTTCTATCAGTAATGTTTCTGAATTAAAATGCCATATCATTATTAAAAGCGATCGGTACCATCAAAATATCTGTATCAGTTCGTCTGCATTTCAATACAGTGGAATCTTTCTCTCCATAAAAATGAAGAGATAACATGCATGACTAGAACCAGTAATTTTGAGTTATGAGATTATACCGACGAATGAGATATTTTTGGCATCCGATTGGCGATAATTTAAAGAGTGACGTGGGACACAATAACAACGTGGCAGCATTCATTAGGACACTACTCTTTCATGTGAAGCTGAAGGAAACGGAGACAATTGGTTATATTAATATTGATGTCCAGACGGATATAGAATATCTCAATGTCGTATTTTCCATCTTTAGCTTCGTTATTTCAATTATTAACAACCCGAGATGTTGATTGCGAAAAGCAGTGAAGGTCATATACATTATTAATAGGCATCTTTGGTTCCATTCAGGTTTTTTTTTTAAGAGGTACAGATCAGGAATGGACACAATACTCTAAAGGAACAGAACGCTCAGTTCAAGCTCTTACTAGCAAAGTGAATGCTCGTGGTAATGCTAAGGACGAGAATTGTCGTGTAATTTAAAAACTATATTTTTTTGATTTTCTGTTGCCAGTTAGTAACGATGCATTGAAGATGAGTACTTTGAGTGCCGAAGTATAATAATGTAAATTTTGGAACAGTTAACTGAAACAAATCCGTCGCTAAACTTTTCTGTCTGTATGTATATATATATATATATATATATATATATATATATATATATATATATATATATATATATATATATATATATATATATATATATATATATATATATATATATATACACACACACACAGAACACACACATACACAGACACACAAACGCAAACATTATATATATATATATATATATATATATATATATATATATATATATATATATATATATATATATATATATATATATATATAGAGCACACACACACAAACACACACACACAAACTCAAAATATATATATATATATATATATATATATATATATATATATATATATATATATATATATACAGACAGAAAAGTTTATATATATATAGATGAAGCACTCACGAAAATAATAAATAAATAAAACAGAAACCATTTTATCTACTGCAAAAAAGTGCCATCAAATAAGCCTAAATTATGACGGTGATAAGATCGTTGCAGCTACGTATGGTATTATAGATTTAATATTATTATTCCTAGCACCTCAGCTATTATAAAAGGAAATATATCTGACTGAGATTTTTAAGAAATCCTTCTGAACTTTATAGTTGACCAAAAGGACAATATGTTGGCATACGAAAGTAAATTTTGGGATGAATTGTACAACAGTTCATGATCATTATGATACAATTTTCAAAATATAGCATCCAATCAAATCAAATAGCCACATATATCATTACTGTCAGAGGAATATCGCCGAGTTTCAGTAATGCAAAAATGTAACTGATTGATGAGACAAAAGAATGAATATGAACGATAATACCTGAGTTCACAATTAGTACAACGCAGTTTTTCAGACGCTATCGATTGCCCTATATGACACTAAGCCACAGTTTTATTGATTCATTTATCTTTGTATTACAGCCGGACAAGAATATTTTATTTATCATGTCTTCAGTCATTTTATGTCTTATGTAGGAGACTTGCTTTGAAAATAATCAATATCATTTTTAAGACTTTAGTTGATTAGAAAAAAGAATCGATATTTTCATATTGCACTATCAAAGGACAGAGGTGTAATAAATTACCTGTAAATAGATGGAATCATTTATTTATGCATTCTGATATAAATGTACCAGTTATAACTTTGGCATGCAAGAAATAACTAATCATATGCAAAATACATTACCAGTTTCAACAGTTCCTACAAAAAATCAAGAACGCACTTTTGGACCTCACGAACTTAAAACATATTATATGTAAATGTTATGGTGTTTAATACACACATGCATGCATACATGCATGCATACATGCATGCATGCATACATACATACATACATACATACATACATACATACATACATACATACATACATACATACATACATACATACATACATACATACATACATACATACATACATACATACATACATACATACATACATACATTTCATAGAGCTGCATTAGAGATAGGCTTTTAATATTAAAAAATATTATTATTTGTAATTTGTAATGATTCTGATATTGTGTAGCTGTAATAACATACTATTTAGAAATGGTGATGACGTAAGATTTTTATCTGACCTCAATGTTAAATCTGGGATCCATATAGGTGCAATTATTTACCTAATTGTAGTTTTATAGGTATCAATTAGCGATCAGATCGAGCATGACAAATTTAAATATATAACCATAACCAGTTTAAATCACCGAAAATACGTTCAGTTGTCGTAAAAATTTGTTTTCATTACCTCACTAAAATATATCATCATGGGTCCATAGCGAGAAGCACAAACACATACATTGTACATAACATCTATGCTAATTAATCATTGTGTCAATGTACCTATTACGTTACTAATTAGAAAGCAGCAACCTAGCAGAGAAGTACATTCTTAGCAAATATGTGGCTCTCTCATATTTTTTGTTGTTGTTGTTGTTGTTGGGCTTAACGCCATTTTCAGCACACGATAGGCTATTCATGGCGGCCAGAATTAATGGTGGAGGAAGAAACCGGGAAATCACCGGAAAGAACCACCAACCCACGAGAAGCTACTGGCAAGCTTTCTCACAGATCCACATTCGCCGAATCCTAGACTCAAACTCACGTAGACAGAGGTGAGATGGCAGTGATCCGTAACGGACAGCGCTTTAGACCACTAGGCCACTCGGGGCCCCTATTTTTTTGTACACTAAAAAGGAAAAACAATTCGAGAATAATGATAATTTTGTAACAAATCAATTGTTTTTGACTGAGATATATGAATGACGTAATCCTCAAAGCAGATAAATAAAACATTCGTCACATAAAGATAATGTATTTATCTTATGTCTTAAAATAAAATGATAGCTGTAAGATTAATTTATGTTCAGTGGAAATAAAAAAGGATGAAAAATGAAGGGATTCATGTGCACGTGATACTTTAGAAATATCTTTGACAGTTTTGTAACACTTTAATCAGATTTAAAACGATTTAGAATTCTTTGACACTATTGAATGTATATGGTGCATTATTGATGAAGATGGCAATTTCAAATGATATAATAAAATAATGAGTATAATAAAATAATTGGAATAAAGAAAAAGATGCCGTTTTATTTCTTTCCAGATAATATCAATAATATCAACATTTCTTGCATAACAAATACTAGTGCATATATATTATCATATATATTATCAAATATATTTGTAAAAAGCTAACTTTAGCTAAGAATTAATTTCTGAAAGTGACGTGAAAAAGGGATAAATACTGTTGATATGATTTTAATTGTGTTATTAAACCAGATGCAAACTGTTATCCTTTAGACTCGTGCAAGGAAAATGCTAGAAGCGAATGAGTCATTCTCATAAAAGCACTTCTTAGTTTTGCGAATTTAAACGTTGTATAAAAATATACAAAACCATCATACTGTTATACTAAATACTAAGGTTTATAGATTCTCCTTCTAGACTATGTACGTAACAGAAAATAAGAAACTTTAAAAGTTAAAACAAATATGATAATAGAATATAAGACATATATTTGCAAGGGACGAAAGATAAATTTAACTATCTTAAATGAACAGCAAAGATGGAACTATGACATAAGCGGTAGAAATTTTCAATACTTATTGGTAAGATTATATGATTATATTTGCGGAATTTACATTTATGATCCTTGTAGAAAATACCTTTAAATAAATATACATTCTTTTGAACTTGGTCTTGAAAGAATTTTCGAGGATATTTATGCGTAGATTCCAAACAATGCGCACATGCAAAGTTTATCTTAAAACCTCAAGGTTTTTACCTGCTTCTGTTTGCCTCAGAAGATTTTCGTTGGTTATGACTTTTATGAAATCCTGCTGACGTATCCGGCTAATCTCGACTGTGATTGAATCAGAAGAATTCATATTGTTGGAAAAGCATGTCCGTGTGAGGACCTCGGTGGGTGTCCTGAATCTTAATCTGTTATCTTATCCTCAATAGTTTCCTCAGGTAGTCCACATGAAAATGATTCAGTTTATTGGAATTTCAGTTGTGCAACATACATGTTTCGAAGGAATACAGCTGATAGGTAAAACAATATATTTGGAGAATTTTATTTTGTTTATGCAAAGACGCCTCTGCGTTTGCTTACATTTGGTTGAGATTTGAAGGAATTTGATGGGAAATGAATAGTGTCATGACTTGCTGGTGAGTTGCATTTAAATTGGGGAACGTAGTCCTCACTCTGTCGTCCATGGTGTTTGAATCCATTGGCACATAGGTGTCTAGATATTTGGAGACAGGCCCCGATGCAACGCATGGCCATCAGCTGCTGCTACACATAATAGTCATTTAAATGGTTGATATAAGACTAAAGACAAAAACTGAATTTGGTCGGAAAGAACACGTCATCTACATACATAGAGTTACTGATACGTATTCGATGTAAATCAGGCCATGTTCATATCAACTATTTCGTGGTAAGCATTTGCACAGATTATCTGACTTGATGGAATATTTGATTGTGAATGTGGTGCTTAAGTGCATAATCTTATTTTGAGGTGAAAATTATCCCAAGTTCAGTAGTAAGTATATTTTAAATAAACCTTGATCTTAAATATTAGTCAAATGTTTTCCTTGGAGATCAGCAAATGCACTTTTATTTATTAAAATAAACAAGCTCAAACTCTAAATGTTTTTTCATCGTATATATCATTTTTCAAAACCGCTCCAGTGGCATAGTGGTTTGAGCGTCCTCCTCGGATGCGGGAGGTCGTGGGTTCAATCCCTGTTCGAGTCATAAACAAAGACGTAAAAATGGTACTTAGAGCTGACTCGCTTGGCGCTCAGCATTAGGAGTTTAGTATTAGGACTGGTCAGCCTGATGTCAGTATAATGTGACTGGGTGGGACATAATGCTACATGTCTGCGGCATGAAGCCCCAGTGCTCGACATTGCTATAAACTGCCACACTGCAGAAATCTTAGCGATATGACTGAACAAATTGTTAAAGCTACATTAAAAATCTAAATCACACACACACACTCATTCCTCACTATGCCATCCACTTTGAGGTTTACAATTTATAAACTACTATATCACGACAAATTCCTTACAAAATATTTTATATTTACATTCTAAAATTTGAGAATACTCTTCAACAATTGCTTTATATTTTAAAATTTCACTGTTGCATATTTAATTTTGGTATTTAAAACATTCGTTGTCATATGTTGAAACAAGTTTTCCATACTTTGGCAAAATGTTGTTGGTTTGTTTTAATTTTGACCTGCTGAAGTTATGTATGTTGAAAAGAGTTCTAATTTATCAAATATCGTCTTTGATACAACGACAAGACATTCCTGCTTTCATTTTGTGTGAAAATGTCCACATTTAGTTCTGTAGGGTTATGCAAAACCTTTCCAGTGCATATGCTATTTTGTCTAAGTTCAAAGATATTTATGTTTTCTTCTTCCTGCAAAGGTTCACTTTTGTTGCGGTTCTTTCTGTTCTTGTGGACATACAAGGTTGTCTTTGAACCAATCGATATCGAATTTGACATAGATAGCAGGCTTCTAACAGACTTTGTCTCTGAACGGTTTTCGGTCATACAGTGGTACTAGAAAGTGATTTTTTATTGCTCCTATTGGATATTGAATAATTAAGCATTCGTGTATCTGAGATAATTATCTTTTTGTATAATTTTACTTCAACAACGGTCCACAAAATGGAAAATAGAAGCCGTTCCAGAAACTTCAAAATTTAAAAAATTGGGCATATCAAATATATAGTACACACATTATATTTATCGATCTACCGATCTATGAGATTTTAACCAAGCCCAGGAAGAAGTACAAAATGTCAGTGCATTACCATCGTACAGTGATTACTTATGGAGAGAAAACGTTGGGAAATTCATACATGTCTGTCAAATCTAATGGAGAATACACAGAAAGATGTTTCGCATTATATATGTCACCTGTCCAGTACAGTTTTCACTGAGGGATAGTGCGGAAGATTCTGCCGAAATCCTCAGATTGTAACTGATACTTTTATTCACAAAATTAGCTAGAGCATCAGAATGGGCACTTGTAATTTCGATATATATTAACCTTTTTGTTGAAGATTCCATGAGCTGCACCTCTGCCTTCTTTATCTTCTTTATACACATCTAGGAATCTATCAAATTCATTCTGAATTTTGCAACCCTCATTTTATTCGGACATTGTTTAGAACAATGACTACCTATCTACATGATCACTTGGTATCTTTAACACAGGTTCAAAGGCACATAAGAAACTCCCGTCATCTGTACTTTTCACGTGAATATTAGTCATTTCGTTCTCAGCACATTCGATAGATGCATTTGTAATCTTCGTCTAAATGATTGATATTTGCAACTATTCAGCATAAAATTGTTATGAATGTTTAATTTGCATTGTTTGTTAGTTTTTTATAATGATTAGGTGTTATGATTGATATATTTCGGACTTAAACTTGTCAAATATTAAGTTCACTGTGTACCTGACTAGACTGACTGATTGAGAGTCTAGCTTATATTATAAAATTTGTATTTCTGAAGCAAAACGAGGTATTGCTGTAGTTATAAGTGATTATCTGTTTTAATTTTAAAGCTGAAAAAAGGATTGGAATTCACATCCTTAATGTTTCATTAAAATATATTGCTTGCGGCAAAAGTATTAAAGAACCAATACATTTTCATTTTACCAATTGTAGCAAAATTCAATGAGGGGGAGAAAAGACTGTAATACTCGTACTCTTGCTGATTTTAATGAATGAAATGTAGACCCTACGGATAAGATTTGCACCGAAGATGACATACAGAGTTATGGAAACTGTCATGAATATGCAAACCACTTTATAATTCAAGGATACCATGTGATAGAAGAATGGGAGAAAAACTACCAGACAGAATTTACACAAATTGCTGAAAATTACACCATGGTGATTATCTAGCCTTTAAATCCAAACGATCGTGGGTTTGGAGGATGAAGCAATGTGACAGGCTTACATTACGAAGTGGACGAACCTTAATAAGAACAAGTCAAATACATCAAAGTATTTCTTGTATCGTTAGGTATCCAAATATTATCGATAATCTATTTGTTACCTATAGATGTTGACAGAACACACCGACGATCCACAAAGATCAATAATGCGTTCTGACACTACCATGTGTGGGTATCAAACTGTTTCATGCCCTAATCGTAGTTAACAACTGTGGTAAGAGCACACGAAGTAAATACATGATCAGAAAATGTTACAGAGCTCAAGCAGGCATCTTT